AAAAAAAAAAAAAAAAAAAAAACTTTGTTTACAAAAAAAAGCAGCTGGAGGATTAGCAGGTGGCGGGTGGTGAAGGTACCGGATCCCACATGCCAACTCCATGGTTTGAGTCCCGGACCTAGTGGCTCAAAAAACAAATTGGGTGCTTATGCCCAAAATCTCAAGAAGAATATGAGGAAGGGTCTGCAGTGTGGCCATACACCCTGGAAGGGGTGGTTTTTTTTACTTTTGCCCTCTCTCTGTCTCTATCTGTCTCTCTCCAGCAAGTGCACACACACTATGGTAAAAACAAAATCTGAACCAGCAGTTAGCGTAATGGCTATGTCGCTAGACTCCCACGTAGTCGACTGCGGTTCACGTCCCAGACCTGGTGGCTTAGAACTCATGCCGGGCGCGTGTGCGTGCATGCCCAAGATCCCGAGAGGAGAATGGAGGAGAAGGGATTGCGGCGTGACCATCCCCCCTGGGGGGTGATTTCTCACTTTCTGTCTCTATGTCTCTCTCTGTCTGTCTGGCGAGTGCACGCGCCCTATAGCAAAAATCTCTCAAAAAAAAAAATAATAAAGAAATAAAGAAATCCAAAGAAAAAAGCCGCAGCTGGGAGATTAGGCTTGAAGGTTGTAGTTTGCTGACCTGTAAGCTAGTCCAAACCTTGCATAGAACACAATGGGAAACTGAGGTCCAGAAAGGATAAGGAATGAGTTCCAGTCACAGTGAACTCACGGTATGCACCTGCCTGCCCTGAAAGGAGTCAATTATGGGCCAGAGGCTGAGCTCTGCAAGATGGAATGCAGGCGAGGTTGTCTCAGGGTGAGGAACTCACCTTGGGCCTCATCTGGGGCTGCCTGGCTCTCCAGTTGGCCGGCCTGGAGTGCCCGGCGGAGTTGCATACGGATAATGTCAATCTTGGTCTTGCTGTCTTGTAGCATCTGCTGGGCTGTTAGCAGCAGCTTCCGGTCCTGGGGACAGAGACAGGCATGAGAAGAAGGTGGGCAGCTGGGGTCTGCCCACCAGCCCCAGGGGCCACGCCGTGCAGGGCCTGGGTTACCATGTGACTCAGTGCTCATGTGTGAGTGGAAAAGCATGCACGTGCGTGCTGGGTACGGTGGAATGATTCTGCCCCTGGACTTTGGATCCCGGTCTGGCAATTACCAGCTATGTGACCTCAGGCAGGACACTCGGTGTCGCTGGGCTTAAATGTCCTAATCTGCATTTGGGAACCCCCACTGAACTGAGGGTTGCAGAAGCTAATCCGGGTATAAGGTCAGAGCTGAGCCTGGCACCAGCAGGAGCCTTTATCTACTTTAGGTGTTAGAAACAAGTGCACGTGGGACCAGCAGATGGCATAATGGCTACGTCGCTGGACTCCCACGTAGTCGACCGCGGTTCGGGTCCCGGACCCAGTGGCTTAAACTCACGCCGGGCGCGTGTGCATGCATGCCCAAGATCTCGAGAGGAGAATGGAGGAAAAGGGATGGCGGCGTGACCATCCTCCCTGGGGGGTGATTTCTCACTTTCTGTCTCTCTGTCTCTGTCTGGCGAGCACATGCACCCTATAGCAAACACCTCTCCAAAAACAAAAACAGAAACAAGCACACATGAGCGGGCGGGCCCCAAGGCCACACACACAAGCCCACAGACTCTATTTATGTGAAGTACCCAGAACAGGCAAATCCATAGAGACAGAAGCAGATTAGAGCTGCCAGGGGCTGGGGAGTGGGTGTGTGGGAAATGACTGTGAAGGGGTAGGCAGTTTCCTTTTGGGGTGACAAAAACATCCTGGTACTTGGGAGAAGGCTATACCACCCTGAACTGTATACTTCATTGTTCATTTATTTATTCACATAAGTATTTTTTAGAGAGATTTTTGCTATAGGGTGTGTACACTCGCTGGAGAGAAAGAGATAAAGAGACGAAAAGTGAGAAATCACCCTCTCAATGGGGAGGGCCACACCACAATCCTTTCTCCTCCATTCTCCTCTCAGGATCTTGGGCACGCACGCACACGCGCCCGGCGTGAGTTTCAAGCCACGGGGTCTGGGACTTGAACCATAGTGGATTAACGTGGGAGTCTAGCAACGTAATCATGCCACCTGCTGGTCCCTCATTTACTTATTTTTTATAACTTGGCAGAGAACATGTGCACTCGCCAAAGAAAGAGAGAGAGAGACAAACACACAGAGAGAAAGGCAGAGAGAATTCCCCAAGGAGGGCACAGATGCCCTGGAATCCCTTCTCCATTTCACCATTCTTTCGGGATTTGGGGTGCTCATCCCACATGTGTGGGTGGCTGAGTTTGCACGTATAGGTGTGCGCATGTGTGAGTGTGAGTGTATGCACATGCAGGTATGTGTGTGCGCAAATATGTAGATGGATGTGTGCATGTGAGAGTAGGGGTGTGTGTGTGTTTGTATACATGTGAGGATGGGTGGGTGTGCACCTGTAGGTATGTCTACGTATGTTAGAAGGCACGTGCATGCATGGATGTGCATGCATAAGTATATATGTGCATGTGCTAGCAGGTGTGGGCACATGTGGGTAGCTCTGCACATGTGGTTGTGTATACGTGTGCTAGCATGTGCAGGTGTGGGTGGGTGTGCACATGCAGGTGTGTGCATGTGCTAGCAGGTGTGGGCACATGTGGGTAGATGTGCATGTGCAATTGTGTACACATGTGCTAGCATGTGCAGGTGTGGGTGGCTGTGCACATGCAGGTGTGTACATGCATGCATGTGCAGGCACAGGTATATATGTGCATGTGCTAGCAGGGTTAGGGTTAGGGTAAACGTGCACCTGCAGCATGTGCAGGTGTGGGTGGGTGTGCACATGCAGGCGTGTGCATACATGTGTGTGCAGGCACAGGTATGTGTGTGTGCATGTGCTAACAGGGTCAGGGTTAGGGTAGACGGGCACCTGCAGTTGTGTACACATGTAGTAGCATGTGCAGGTGTGGGTGGCTGTGCACATGCAGGTGTGTGCATGTATGCACGTGCAGGCACAGGTATATGTGTGCATGTGCTAGCAGGGTTAGGGTTAGGGTAGACATGCACCTACAGCTGTGTACACATGTACTAGCATGTGCTAGCTGTGGGTGGGTGTGCACATGCAGGTGTGTGCATGCATGTGTGTGCACGCACAGGTATATGTGTACATGTGCTAGCAGGGTTAGGGTTAGGGTAGACGTGCACTTGCAGTTATGCACACATGTACTAGCATGTGCAGGTAGGGGTGGGTGTGCACATGCAGGTGTGTACATGCATGCATGTGCAGGCACAGGTATATATGTGCATGTGCTAGCAGGGTTAGGGTTAGGGTAGACATGCACCTACAGCTGCATACACATGTACTAGCATGTGCTAGCTGTGGGTGTGTGTGCACATGCAGGTGTGTGCATACATGTGTGTGCAGGCACAGGTATGTGTGTGTACATGTGCTAACAGGGTTAGGGTAGACGTGCACCTGCAGTTGTGTACACATGTGCTAACATGTGCAGGTGGGGTGAGTGTGCACACGCAGGTGCGTGCAGGTATGTACACGTGTTGACCCACCTTGGTGCTGCCGTTGCTGTAGGTCTGGATCATGTTCTCCGCCCCCTGCTTCACCTTCAGCTCGATAGCCAGCTGCTTCTCCAGCCCCGCCACGCGGCTCAGGTTGGTGGCCGAGCAGGCAGGGCCGCCCGCCCCGGGGGACTGGGGGACATCTGAAGGGGACAGGAGGAGGGGAGAGGTACAGCAGTCATCACCACATACACAGTCACACTGAGACCACACAGAGACGCTCCTGTTTGCCACTCCCACCCCTGTGATAATGAGTCTCTGTGTGGTTGAGGCTTTGGAGCAACTGTGTGTGTCTTTAAGTATGTGTGATATCACCTTTGCGTGTTGTTTGGAACGTGGTACGACCGTGTATGAGATTTTGAGGTACTCCTGAGACAGCGTATAAGCCTTTGGGTGTTTATGTGTTAGTGTGACTGAGTGATAGCCTCTAGGTATTTGTGTGATAGTATATACATCTTTGGGGATTGCGCAGGTATTGGTGTGTCTGTGTATCTAGGTATTCGTGTGACAGTGTCTACATCTTTCGGCACTGTCCTGAGTATGGGTGTGTCTTTGTATCTGGGTGTTCATGTAACAGTTTCTACACCTTTGGGCACTGAGTATTGATGTGTCTGTGTACCTGGGTATTCGTGTCAAGTTGTGTACATACCTAGGCATTGTTTGAGCATTAGTGTGTCTATGTACCTAGGAGTTCATGTTAGGATGTGCATATCTTTGGGCACTGTAGAAGCATTGGTGTGGCTGTGTGTCTAGGTATTCCTATGAGGAAGTGTATTGGGAACCAACAGTTAGCGTAATGGCTATGTCGCTGGACTCCCACGTAGTCCGACCGCGGTTCACATCCCGGACCCGGTAGCTTAGAACACACGCCGGGTGCGTGTGCGTGCGTGCCCAAGATCCCGAGAGGAGAATGGAGGAGAAGGGACTGCGGCGTGACCATCCCTCATGGGGGGTGATTTCTCGCTTTCTGTCTCCCTGTCTCTGTCTGTCTGGCGAGCGCACGCGCCCTATAGCGAAAACCTCTCCAAAAAAAAAAAAAGAAAAAAAAAGGAAGTGTACATCTTAGGCCCTGTGCAAGCATTGGTGTGTCTGTGTGTCTAGGTATTCCAGTGAGGGAGAGTACACCTTTAGGTATTGCACAAGAATTGGTGTGTCAGACGCCAGCAGGAGGTGTGGTGGTTAAAGGCGCTGGAGTCCCACATGGCCGACCGCAGTTCAAGTCCCAAACCTAGTGGCTTGCTTGCTTTCTCTCCCTCCCCCAGGTCAAATTTAAATAAATAAATACAATAAATACAGTTAAATAAAATAATTCTTAAAAAAAAAAAAAGAAGAAGAAGAAGAATTGGTGTGTCTGTGTATCTAGGTATTCCTGTGAGGGAGTGTACATCTTTAGACACTGTGTATTTCGGTATTCATCTGACAGTGTCTACACCTTTGGGCATTGTCCGAGTATTGGTGAGGCTGTGTATCTAAGTATTTGTGAGGAAGTGTACATCTTTGTACATTTGGGCATGGCCCAGGCTTTGGTGCATCTGTGTATGCATTTCTCGGGGTGCTGGTGGCTGTGTGCTTTTGGCATCTGCTCTAATTGTTATGTGTATTAACACCGTGAGTTGTCATGACCCAGCGTGTCTTCCTGAGGGTCAGTGGAGTTGAGCCAGCCTGCTCTGGAGGCTCCGGATGAGCTCCTGAGCACCAGAATCCCGGGGTACCACCTCCCCAGGTACCAGGCTCACCTCGGGCAGCGGCCACAGGGTCAGGAAGTACCACGTGGGCATGGAGCTCCTGCAGCTGCTGGTGCAGCAGGTCGAGGCGGCGTGAGGAGCCTCGTAGCACGAGCTCCACGGGGCCCAGGTTGCGGCCCAGGTCAGTAGTGGCCCGACGCAGGTTCTCAGCTCCCTCTTTCAGTTTCAGCTCCTTACGGATCTCCCGGCGCAGCCGCTCCCGTTCCAGCTCTAGCTGCTGTTGCACTCCGGGGGCCGCCAGGTCTGCCCCGGCCAGGCCCAGCTGCTCCAGCAGGGACCAGCTCCGAGGCTCACTCTGTAGGGGACAGGGCCAGGTCAGTGTGCTAGGAGGACTCCAGGGCACTGACCACACACAGTCAACCTGGTGGGGCCTCCACTGGGGACTACTGGAACTCCCACGACAGGGCCTGCTCCACCTTCACTGGCCCCTGAAACTGGGAGGTGAGACTGTTCCTTGAGGTCAGCAGAGGGCGTAATGGCTATGTCGCTGGACTCCCATGTAGTCAACTGCAGTTCGAGTCCCGGACCCGGTGGCTTAAACTCATGCTGGGTGCGTGTGCATGCATGCCCAAGGTCCCAAGAGGAGAATGGAGGAGAAGGGATCGCGGCATGGCCATCCCCCCTAGGGAGTGATTTCTTGCTTTCTGTCTGTCTGTCTCTCTCTTTCTGGCGAGAGTATGCATCCTATAGCAAAAACCTCTTCCCCAAAAAAATGAAGTGAGGGACCAGCAGTTAGCATAATGGCTATGTTGCTGGACTCCCATGTAGTCGACCATGGTTCGAGTCCCGGACCCGGTGGCTTAAACTCACGCTGGGTGCGTGTGCGTGCGTGCCCAAGATCCCGAGAGGAGAATGGAGGAGAAGGGATCGCGGCATGGCCATCCCCCCTAGGGAGTGATTTCTTGCTTTCTGTCTGTCTGTCTCTCTCTTTCTGGCAAGCACACACGCCCTATAGCAAAAACCTCTCCCCCCAAAAAAAGAGGAGAGACGGTCCCTGTCCCTGCTTCTGGCCCTCAAACTGGGAGGTCTCAGGGAACGGCCTTCTTCCTCTGTCCCATCAAAGGAGGGGACCCTACAGGCGTGGCCCTAACTCCCTTCATCTGTCCCTTACACGGTAGGACTCTGAGGGATCTCAAGAGAAGGCTCTTCCCATCTGCCGTCCCCCTCACACTCAGAGATTCTAGGGCCAGACTTCATCTCCCCACCGCTGTATCCCCACACTAGAAGAGCCCGTATTTCCTTCTATACTCGACAACTGGGACCCTAATGAGCCGGGCCCTAGCTCCTTCTTGATTTCTCTGAGATCCCCAAAATGCCCCAGACACTTTCGTCCTCCAAATAGAGAACTCAGGGGCCAGCCCCCCTTCTCTCCTTCACCAGAGACTGAGAGACACTCAAGGCAGAAGGTCCACCCTAGGCTGCGTGGGATCTCCTTCCGCCCACCGTGCAAGGACCCCTGGCCCCACCTCCAGCTCCTGCTCCGAAGGGGGATCGGCCTCCGCCATCCTGGGTCCGGGCTGACGGCCCCGCCCTCTTCCTGAACCTCAGCCCTGCCGGGGCCTCTGGGCCACCACTTCCTCTTTCCTGCCAGCTCCCAGCATCCCCTGCGCCAGGCTGGCCCCAGACTTCTGGGGCATCTAGGGGACCTTCTCTCCAACCCCCTCTCCAGCGCCAAGCCTGCTTCTCCAAATGCAACCCAGGGACTGCCCTCGTTCCCTGTCCTGAGAGGATGCCCGTGTACACCCGTGCCTGTCATACGTGCATGTATGGGCAGATAGGCTCCCGTGAGAGTACGTGGGCTCCAGGGGCTGACTTGAGTGTGCACAGAACACAGGCTGGGGCCGGCAGGTGGCTTGGTGGTTAGGGATGCTGGACTCTCACATGGCTGACTATGGTTCAAGCCCTGGACCTGGTGACTTGTTTTCTCACTTTCTCTCTTTCTCCCTCTCTCTGTCCCTCTCTAGTCATATTAAAATGGATAATACTAAATAATTATTAAAAACCCACAGGCCCACAGGTGTGCATATGCACACCTATAAGCATGTGCACGCAACAGAAGCTCAAAAGTGTGTGCACATCCCCAATCTCCAAGTGTGTGCATATCTGCATTTATGGATGTGTGTACATCCTCTTGGGATCTTGGGCATGCATGCACACGTGCCTGCCGTGAGTTTAAGCCACCAGGCCCAGGACTTGAACTGTGGTCGACTTCATGGGAGTTTAGCGATGTGTGTACCTGCACTTCTGGATGTGTGCACAGAACATGCCTCATGAGTGTGCACAATTCCATGTCTGCAGGTGAGCACAGAACACAAGCTCACACACGTGTACACTCCCACATCTACCGTGTAACACTTAAGTACAAACGCCCAGGAGCGCTTCAACGGTCGCCCTAGATCCTCTGCCATACACACTCCCACCTGCAAAGTAGACACAGCTCACTGCTCACCCATGTGCACACGTGCACACTCACACACGTGTGCATGCTCCTTGAGGTCCCCACAGCATGGCTGTGCTCCCAAGGGCCTCCAGCCCTGCATCACCTGCACATGTCACTGTGGTCGGCCCCGCCCCTTGTCCCCAACTTCCCCTCTAGGGTCAGAACAGCCAGTTCTACAGAGGCGAGGCCCCCTTCCTGCAGACAGGCCATCCCAACTTCCTGCTTCCACTCAGTCCACTCGCCAACCGCAGCCGCCTGCAGCGCAGGGGCCCAGGGGCCCAGCCAGCACAGCAGCACCTCCCTGAGACCAACGCACTGGGGGGCAGTGACAAGAGCACCCCAAACCGGCAGCCACAGACCACTCACAGAGCACCCACTAGCACTCAAAGACAATTTTTTTTTCTTTTTTTGGGAGAGGTTTTTTGCTATAGGGCACATGCGCTCGCCAGGAAGACAGAGAGACAGAAAGCGAGAAATCACCCCCCAGGGGGGATGGCCACACCGCAATCCCTTCTCCTCCATTCTCCTCTCGGGATCTTGGGCACACACGCACATGCACTCGGTGTGAGTTTAAGCCACCAGGTCTGGGACTCGAACCAGGGTCGACTACATGGGAGTCCAGGACATAGCCATTACGCCAACTGCTGGTTCCTATGTACCTTTTCTCCATCCGCTGGGAAGTCCCATTTTCCAGATGGGGAAAGTTATTCTTGGTTCCTGAATGGCCTTGAGAACTGCAACCCCAAAGGAGAAAGATCACAGGCCAAGAGCACGGCCCCTGGGACCCAACCAACCTCTCTTTATAAACTGGAGTGAGTGGGGCCGGCAGGTGGCGTGGTGGTTAAGGGCACTGGACTCCCACACGGCTGATAGTGGTTCAAGTCCTAGACCTGGTGGCTTGCTTTCTCACTTTCCTTCTCTGTCTCTTTCTGGTCAAATTAAAAAAAATAATAAAATAATAATTAAAAAAAAGAATGATTCTGCCTGGAACACAAGTACAGTAATAACAGAAGTTCCCATATCCTTCACTGAACCTACTCATAAATTTTAATGCTTTAAGTTAATTAAGGAATATTTAGAGAATTATCAAGACCTCAGGAACTCTCTTCCCGAGAGGAGAATGGAGGAGAAGGGATTGTGGTGTGGCCATCCCCCCTGGGGGATGATTTCTCACTTTCTGTCTCTCTGTCTCTCTCTGTCTCTTTCTGGTGAGCGCACGCGCCCTATAGCAAAAACTTCTCCAAAAATAAATAAATAAAAACAATTATTTTTAAAAAATTACAGCTCTTCTTTCAAAAATAAATGAACAGATAAATAAACTGGCATGAGTAACCATTGTTCTCCTCACTTCGCAGGTAGGAAAACCAAGGCTCGGAGAGATGACAGCCAGGAGTCCCCAGTGGAAGGGGAAACTCGTCCCCAACCTCAGGGACACATGGTCATGTCTGGAGATATTCTGGGCTGTCGGGACTGGGACTGGGGAGGTGACAGATGGCAGTTGGAGACCAGAGACACTGCTCAGCCTCCCACAGTGATAGGGACAGCCCCAACCCAACGATGGTGCTGAGGTTGATAAGGACACGCCCCTGGGCTGCCGATCGCGATGCCCACCCGATGCCCCACCTGCCCCCTGGGGATGCCCTCAGCCCTGTTGTCCCCACGGCAGAACCACAGTTCAGAGAGGCCAAGGCAGTTGGCCCAGGGCACGCAGCAGAGATGTGACAACACTAGAATGTAAACTCAAGCTAACACCTAATGCCACCCTCGCCGGACCAGGCCCCACCCTGTCCCCAGCAGGCAGAGCGGGTTACGGCCAGGAGCAGGGACCAGCTCGAATAGGGACAGAGGAGGGGCAGCCTGCCTCAGCCCTGCCTCTGGCACGTAAAGCGAGGAGGGGTGGAGAGGGGGAGGGAGAGAGGCCGGGCCTCCTGGGTCCTCCTCCACTGGTGACTCACTTCTGCCCAGGAGCCAGGGGTCACCTGAAGGCCAGGAAGACCCAGGAACCAAGGCCTAGCCCAGCCTCAGAAAATCCTTGTCCTCCGCTTCCCACCAAGGAGCAGGAACCCCTGGACCCAGAGGCCCTGCCTCCCAGGGTCTGTCTCTGCTCAGCGCAGCCTGGGACCTAGACCCTCCACGTCCGGAGATTTCAATGCCTTGGGCGTTTCCGGAATCTGGACAGGACATCCGTTTGCCGGACACAGAACAGACAGGCACAGATCAGGACAGACAGAGGGACAGGGCGGCAGGTCCAGACAATCAGGAGAAAGGGATAACCAGGATGGGGGGAAGATGGGGACAAGAGATGGGATGGAGACCAGGGCATGGGTCCAGCCTCATCGCAGGAATGGCAGCCTTGCCTGGGTCACGTGTGATACACGCCAAGCACATGCATGCACCAGGGTTTCGACACAGCGCTCCCTGGGCCAGGGGTAGAGGCGGGGACCCTGGCCCATCCCGATGGCCCCAAGGTCTGACCTTGTGTGATCGGCAACACCAGAAACGCCCAGCTCCTCGACAAGGCTGGTAGGCCATCAGCAGGACTGGGGGACGTGGAGGGACAAGGGGTCACGGGGGAGACACAGAGGGGACAGGACAGGTGCAGAAGGAGACGAGAACCCAGTTACACAGAACCACAGGACAGCGGACTGAGCCACGAGGGGTTAGCAGTGGCCCCGGAGGCATGGATGTGTCCCAGATGAGGGTCACCAAAGGTCTGAGGTCACCCTGGTCCCGCTTGTCACCCAGAGGAAAGGTGAGTCCTGGGCGGTGATACCCACCAGGTGACACAGGTAAAACCTTGGCCGAGTGACAGCTGGGGCCAGTCACGTGTGTCTGTTTATGTGTCTGTGTGTGGGGAGGGTGACCCGGTCTGTCACTCAAGCTTACAGATAGGATTCTGGGTCCAGGAGCATCTTGGTTCTGCTCATGGGTACACTGGACACTCCCTCCTGGGATGTGGGTCCACCTGGCAGCCTGGTAGGTAGGCCTGGGGGGGTCCCCAGTTCCCCGATCTAAGGAGGTGACTCCGGCACTTCCGCCAACAGGTGCCAATCTGGGTGGCGTCGGGACCATCGTAAAGCTCGGTCTGGGGGGGCGGGGTGGCTGGAGCTTTGCAGGGCGGGGGAGGGGCGCGGGCCGGGCGGGCTCCGGG